CCATAGTTAGGTTTTGTATTTTTATTTAGTCAGTCAGAAAGATTCAAGTATAGAAAATGAAAATACTTCATGTTGGCTTTCACCCTCTGGTGAAATATCATAGTTGGATGACATAGGGACCCCATTTTTTTAATCATTTTTCTTCATTCTATTTTCAGTGTAGTCCTGTTTCTCTGACTGTGACTGGCTGGATGTGCTCTCTTCATCCTCTGACATGAGAGCTGGCTTGGAGCTCGTCTGCCTGGCTGTGTGTTTCCTGGATGCCTTTTACAGTTGCCTTTTGTATCTCTGCTTCTGTCTCCTTGAACCCCAGTCGACCTCGGCGGATTGCTGCTCACACTGAGCCTGGTTCTGCTGGAGGTTTCTTCCTGTTAAAAGGGCATTTTTCCTCTCCACTGTCACTACAAGCATGCTTAGTGTGAGGGATTTCCTTCGATTCAATTTGTTGATGCAATCAACTGGTTTCCCTAGAGAGAAAACTTCAAATCAATTTGACTGTATGATCTGGTGAGCCGTAATGTGCCTTGAGATGACATGTGTTGTGAATTGGCGCTATAAATAAACTGAATTGAATTGAATTATAGCATAGATCTGAAAGCTGCTCTCAAAGCTGAAGGTGAAAACAAATGCTTTGTGTCTCAGCTGCACTATATGCAGCTATTATTAGACAACAGACAAACAGATCCAAAGACAAGCAAGCATTAAGGCTAAATTATAGTTTAGGGGAAGCTAATATGGATGAGTGACTCTATAATTTTTGAATTTGACCTCATCTTATTTTGATCTGTCTGCATTAATTCAATAGCCACAGTCAAAGCTGTTATTTAGACGTCCTCTGCAGCCACCTGATGCACACAGGCACACATGAACTGCACCAAGGGCGAATAAAACCTGCAGGGAGTCAAAAGCACACACACACACAAGCTGGAGGACAAAGCACACCTGCAGAGAGACAGCCAGGAATACATTTTTCTAAAACAGTGACACAGAAAGGGCATTCTTTCTAAATTCTTTCAAGGTGTCCTTCATATATTATCTCACAGCACAGTCAGGAACTTTGCAACACTTTTACACTGTGCAGTTTGACAAAGACGTTTTTGCCTTAAGACAGCACAGGTGGGAGCAGTGCCATCTTACACAGTGCAAAGAACAAAGACATCACCCTCAAGGGACACAATCTGAGATCATCAACGGAGAAAACAACACGTCCTCTTTTCCACAAAGAGAATAATAATGCCTGAAAAGCAGTAAAAACCAATGACAAAGTCTTTTTTTGTGCAAAGTCACTGGGGAGTAAAGCAGCTTAACAAGGATGTTGAAGAATACCCTTCATTAGCTCTATAGTGGTAAATGCTCTTCTCTCTAGTCTGCATCTGAGGATCCAGAACCAAATGAGACAGGAAGGAGGTGGAGGAAGAACATCAGAAAAGACCCTCTCAGTGTAAACTCCTCTCTGTCTCTCATTTGTTGGCTGCTCAGTGTCCAGGGCTTCAACAAGAGGAAGCTCCCTCGCATTCAATCTGTGTATTATTTGTTGCCCTTGTGTGTTCTGGTCAAGGGTGTGTTATGTAACCACGTTATAGTGGCACTTTGCTTATACCTAAGAAATGTACTGGCTTTCACACAGAAAGGAACAGGAGGGGTTTGCTTTGGTTTGGGACATGAATGCAAATCACTCACAGAGAACTCATAGTAATCAGTGATCCTTGTGCCCCATCACAGACATCGTCTGTTCATCAAATCTTTTGCAGTAATTATAACTGTTTCTGTTCAAGATAAAGAGGATGTTTGGAGAATCAGGCGCCCTGCTGATGAATGTGAATGAGCCACAGTGACAGCATTACAGAAAAACCTTCAAGTCTAAGGACGACAGAAAGGCCTTTATTTTGTGAGTGGACACAGTGTGTATAGATGTGGCCTCATTGGCCTACATGTCATCTCAGCTCTGTCAATGGGAAGTCATGTGACCATCATCACTCTGGGGCCAGGGTTTCCCGGTTTGAGGCTTTAGTGAATACTTTTAGAAATATCCTTTTTTTTTTAAAAGCAGGATTGCTTTAAATCAGTTTAAAAGGTCACAGTAAGACCGATTAAATTCATAAGAAGTATAAATGAAATTAATTGCACTATTTATAGCTTTGAACCACATCACATTTGGTCAAATTCCAATATCAAAGTTCAATCCAATAACAAAGTTCAATCCAATGACAAAGTTGTTACCACTGCCAATGCATTGGTACTGGTAACAGAAAAGTTTTTGTTTTATATATATATATATATATTTTTTTTTTTTTTTACAAAAGCTGCTTAACTTGTTGTCTATCAACATTCAGCTCAACTAGACCCCTAAATAAATATAGTCTTCCAATATGTCTTTAAGAGCCTCCTCAACAATAAAGAAAGTATGCCAATGTTTAATTTAATCTCAATATTAATCCAAATATCATCCAAATAACATTTGCAAGCTAATCGGAAGATGAGATCCATTCAATACACTAAACATATCAAGGATAAAATAGTGGACAAGATTAAAGCAGGATTTGGTTATAAAACACTATCTATAGGTTTAAACATCTGACAGAGCTTTGTTCATGAATGGAGTTATAGGACACATGTAAATCTAGACTCACAGCTGTAATGGCTATGAAGGTGTTTGCATTGACTCTGGAGGTCTGAACATAACTTCAATTTAGGTTTTATTGCATAAAAGCAAATAAAGAGTTTTTGTCTGTCATATGAAATCACAATGCAATATGCATAAGCCAGTGAATGTAAAATGTAGCAAGTAAAGTAGGGAGTTTTTCACAGGGAATGTAAATTGTGAATATAACCTGGAAAAAAAACAACTGTTGATCTTTAAGTATATTTCACAAGGAAGGATTCCCAAAGACTGAAATGTTATAAAGATTTACTAACATTTTACCCATTTTGGGAAGGAGGCTTGTGACCTGGTTATTATACAATTGACCAGATCTGTAAACATGTTCAGACATATACGTTAAACTGTTTAGTTTCTTGAGCATGGTGTCTTTAAAGGATTTATAAAGTATATGTTTCCCTTTATTTCTGAATATGTGCGTGCATTGGAGTAGGTGTGCCTGTTAAGCTGTGAAAGCAAGCTGGTACAAGTGCGTTTGACGTCATAACAGTGTGAGAAAAAAAGTTGCAGAGCCGATACACACACACATACACACACACACCCCATGTCAATTGCAGGCTTAATTATAAGTTATATAATAGCGCCTGATAAAGAGGAGCACCACAGTTCAGAGTATAAATTCTAATTTATTGGACGATAAAGTTACTGCTGAGTTTACAAAAGCTACCTTTAACCAAAGGCTCTATGCTACCAATATTAGAAAACAAAAAAAGGCAGAAAAAGGAAATAAAGCTTTTCTGTAAAATGATACAGCTAAAAGCTATGCCTGTTTAAATGATGCAATGCAGTCACATTCATGACTGTATTGTTGTAAACGACTGATTTATAACATCATACAATGTTTAAGCTCTCCTAGAGCTACTAATTACTGAACTTGGACTGACAGGGTGTAGCGGTGTGACAGCAGGGGCCACAGGAGCAGCTTGTCAGCAGCTTCTATAATTGCTTGGATTTCTCCCTGCACACCAAAAAATTCTCTCTTTCCTGACAGACAGTCCGCTGCCAAAAAAAACTAGCATTTTGAACAAAAAAGGCCTCTTGTCACATTTCTTCCTGGAAATGTTCCACGAGGAGTGCAGAGCTTGAACTAAAATTGCTGCAGTTGCACAGAACTAACCTAGTTTTCTGCTTCTAAGCAAACATACAAATACAGATATCTTTCAGTTTCTATGTCTAAATTAATTATCAGAGAAATTAAGCTTCCACTGTGGAAAAAAAATGCAGATGATTTCTTTGCACATTTGTTAAAATTTCCATGCAATGAAGGGTTTGAAGCTCTTACCATGGCATTTCATTTAAATCTGTAAACTCTTTTTGTTGGTTCTCTAGCTACTAAAGATTTAACTAGTTGTACTTGGATAATTTTCTTGCAGCAAATCCCATCCTCTTCTCATGTTATTCCTCCTTTCCAGACTGATAGATGTCAAAGACTCTTTTCATCATATGTTCTTCCATTTCTTTAGCTTGGGACATTACACATTGCATTAATATCTTTCAGTCTATGTTATGTTGTCTTATAGTGATTTGTTACACATAAAGTTCAGGAGCTTCTGAGCTGGGAGTAGTGAGGAAAAATAAAGTTGTCAAACATAAATGTTTTTTCTGGATAAAAAATAAGCAACGTTTAGAAACTGCTTGTTATTCATATAAGAGGACATATTTCTTTTTTAGATATAGCATACTTTTTCATGTAATCCCTGTCATATTTGAGAACACGCATTTTTTTGTGCTGCTTCTTGTCCTTTAGACTGAACTGTCATTTGTTTCATAAATGAAGGCTGCAGTGGAAAATTAAAGTTCAGTGACTTAGGGTCATTTTGGCAATAAATACAGATGGACTCTCACCCTGTAGTGCATATCTAGGCCAAGAAGCAATCACATTAGCTCACACGCTATCAACAGCTGGACTGAGGTTGTAAACTGAGAAGGTCACCATGCTTTGTGCACGATGATCTGTCCTGAGCACCGTGTCTGTAACTACCGCCTTGGCACATTCCACAAAACAAGCGGTAATCTGTTTTTTTCTTTCTTTTCCGACAACAGCAATTATCCTGACAGTTTAGCGGTCTGCTCAGAGGACTGAGCTGTGAGGTATGATCCAGTCACCAGGGTTTGAAGAGTAGAAAGCCACATTGCAAGACAAAAACATTACAAATACTAGATCATTATTAATTCCTAGAAAAAGGTGATTCATCCACGGATGATGATAAGAAAAGAAAAAAAATGTCCAGTATGGAAATAGCTGTGCAGTTACAGCTTATGGACAGATGGAACGAACAAGGTGGGAGGACAATGAGAATTTAGAGAACAAAAACAACAGAAATTGTTGCAGAATACTCACTGCCGTCGCCAGGGCAACAGTAGCTGTCCGGGTCTGAATCATTATGATAGTACAGGTCCATCGCCTAGAGAGGAAAATTAGGTAACAGACCTTAGAAAACACATTAAACATCAGAGAGTATCCAATAATCTTCATGTAATTCTGTGTAATTAATCTGGGAATTTCTAACATTTTTGACAGGATATACTTCCATTATCTATTTTCTTTGATTTGCTACAACCCTCACACTACATGGCTGAGAAAATTTTTTTTAATGATGCTGCTGCCAATCAACAACTTTCCAAACTGCCTTGTGTTTATTTTAGTACAACTTTAGCCTTACTTGCTATTCCTCAATACTTTGCAAATTCCCATGACTCTATCCCTGAGATTTACCCACCCTCAGAGGAGGTTTGTATAGTATATGTGCATGTGGTTTACTTCAGTTCATCTCTTTGCTCATTTATTTAGTGGTTTTCAGCAGCTTGCCTTCTCCACCAATCACTTAATCTACATTCACGTCTGCAGAAAAGAGCCCTCCTTTCGCTTTTTGTCATGCTCTTCCTCTTATGTTGTTTATGGCTTCAGTGAGGGCTGATGGATGATATGCAATCCACAGAGACAGAAGTCTTGAATTTCTGATTATTAATATTTCATAGTATATTTATCATTCTAAAAGAAGACTTTAAGCTAAGCTCCTTGACGCAGCAGAGTGTGTAAATTTATGTTTCATAAAAGTTAAAGGAGATGTGGAGCTCAAGAAGAAAAACTCTATTCAACAGTTACAAAAGATTTTAATATTCAGATATGTTTGCTCTGTGTAAAAAAAATCAACAAAAAACCAAAAATGTGCAGCAAAACATGCAAATCAAAAGGTTAATTTCTGCATCTAAACTTGTGATCATCATAAAATACTTGATCAGATCCAAGTGTTTATAGTCAGGATTACTTCTAGAGATTTGTTTTCAAAATCATAATAAACAATGTGAATGTCTAGACACCATCTTTCTTATGTGCAAATTTGTAGTTGTATTATCACAAATGTAAAAAAAAAAATCACTTCAAAGGTCATTAAATTAAGTGGTAAAAACATTCAAACTAAACACTGAAAGATGTGGGGAGAAAATGTTAAATGTGGGACATTTATTATGAAAAATATAAGTTCAATCTGAAAAACTCACACAGAGAGAAAAGATAATTAGAAGAATTTATTGATAAGAAAGTATAGTCTTTGGCGCTCAGACCTCGGCAGGAACATTCATGCTGAATTATGCTTTAACATGCATGAGTAGATGAATGTGAATAGGGATGTTCCCCCCAGGCCTGAAACTGGTGGTGGTTTAATCCGAGCTGGTTGACAAGGTGATCTACTGAGCAGAATTGTGGGACTAGAAGACTGAGGGAGCTGACGCCGGGGCTTCACTCAGACTCGGGATATAGAGGTCCTGCTCGGTGATGCAGGTACCGTGAACTGTCCATGATGAGCAAGCATGAAGCGACAGTGGAGAGGAAAAACTCCCCTTTTGGGAAGAAACCTCTGGCAGAACCGGGCTCAACATGGTGGTCTTCTGCCGGACCAATGCGATGAGACGAGGGATGGTGACAACTGGGATTAATACTCTCTGATGAGGTTGAGGTGAAGTCGTGTCATGGAGGACGATTCAGCTGCGATGGCGGAGAAGGGGATGGAGGTGGGTGAATTGTCGTCTGAATCGAAATCCGACATTGCGATTGCAGGATAGCGGCTGTGGTGAGATTTGAGGGAGTTTATAAAGTGGAAGCAGGACGCTGATTGGGCTTCGTGGTGGAGTAGTTCGAAGCTGATTGGCTCGCTTCGGAGACGGATCGGCTTCTGATTGATGGAGGTAAGTCAGAGTTTCTTCAATTGAACTTTCGCTAGAGCTTCATTATTAATAATCCCTTTAAAAAAAGAAACATGGAATGCATTTCTAAATAATTTACCTGTATTTGAATCTCTAAAACATGGAGCTAATTTTGGATAATCTGGCTTTATGGTTATGATTTGTGTTATTTTCCTTGACTGAACTCATGGTGAATCATTTCCTATTATTAAGTTTGAATGCAGTTCCCAGAATACCTTAATACACAGGTCAAGTGTTTGTTTTAGAATAGTTCTCAAAGACTCAGTAAGAAAAGCAAAAAAAAAAATTTCTATTTTGGAAAATGTTTTAATTGAAACAAAGCTTCCTAACGATAAATCTAACACAATTGAGAATCCAATAGATTTAATTTGGGCTACATTTATAAGAAAATGAATTTGCAAGCCAAAATCAGGGTTGAATATCTGGTTTAGACCAAGGAAAAACTTAGCAGACTCTCTGTTAAGCAACATTTTTTTCTAACTGTTTTCTTTACCTGTAGGAGAAGTCTTTCCAGCAGCCTGTTTCCATGGTAACAATCTGCTTTTCAATCCGATAGATGTGGATTGTTCCCAACATGTTATTGTTTTGGGCCTTACACCATGTAGAGTAAAAACAACTTTTAAATCTTTCAAAGTCCAGAAAACCACAATTATGGTGGTTTGGTACACATTGAAAAGGACATCTGATGACAGTATTTACTGTCATTACTTTCTGCCATAGTTTAAGCCATTTTTTTTTTGTTTGTTACAATTAAATTCTTGTTAAGTTTATTGAATGAGATTAACTTTTGTATTGTAGGAATAGTTTTCCCACGCTATGTCTCAGCCTTTCTGGTCTCTACATCTGCAACTATATTCAAGGTTTTACAGATCTTTCTATGCTGCGTTCCTTTTTTTTGTTTATATTTTGGTCTAATAAAATGTCTTGATCAACGAGTTAACTTTTACTTCTTTCTAAATCTGCCTGGCTTATGATACATGAACCTATAATACTCATGTTTTAAAAAAAACTACCGGTAAGTAAAGAACAAAATGCATTAAAAAAAAATAGTCCAGTAGTCAGTAGATAATACATGTATTAATAGAAATTACAAAATTATGAACAGCCTCTACAAAACTGAACCAAAAAAATTCATATATCTGATTTAATGCATGAATTTGCGTTTTTAACCTGTGTACGTTGACGTGGCTGCCAGTTATCCTCCATGGCATAGCTGATGTAGGGTCCGCTGCAGATGGAGCACTCCAGGATCACTGGGCTGGCCAGAAGTGGTGATGTGTGAAGCGCCCAGCACTGACAACCTTCCATGTGAACATCTGACTCCAACTCCTTCTGTTTGACTGCGCTGTCATTATGATGGCGAGAGAGCATCCTCCACTTCCTTACCTGTAAAGTAGGATCAATTATATTATAGTTCTTTTATTCTTAGTACTCAATAACTTCAAAAATGTAGATATAAAAAATTATAATCAGGAGAAAATGATTAGAGAGCTTTCAAATCTCTCTGATGGTCGCCGGTTCGCTTGGTCTGCGACCAACTAATTTTAAACACTTGAGGCGGAGACTATTTTTGCAGTGTCTCGAGTTTTGTCACGCTTTAAAGACCAAATTATGACCTCCAAATATAGATCATCCCCTTTTACATAGCTCTTGAATGTGTCTGCACCTCAGTTTATTTTGTTTGTTGTTTTTCTTACATATACATGCATGATTCACATTGATAGCCAATGTAAGTATCTGGGATATCATGGGCAACAACTCAAGGTGTAAACATCTCTAATATGCCGTTTACATTGCATTTCCTTTGTGTAAATTTTTACCCAGATTGTAGTTGTTCCATTAATAGGACAGATAGGACAGATAACTGTACATCCCACAAAAACATAGTCAGCGTTCAAGCCTAAGCAAACCTTTTTGAAAATTTTGATCTGGTTTTTGGTAAAATCCAAAAATGATTACCCCTCCCATTCTCACCAACTTGATAAATTCTCACTAACATGAAGGATTCAGCACCACTGAATCCATCATGACTCACTGTAATGGCAGCTGAACATCGTAGGTGCCCTCAGAGAGCTGTTAGAACAGCAGAGAAAATTGTTGGGACCTCTCTCCCTTCTTTCCAGGACATTGGACACAAACACCGTTTGACAAGAGCCAATAAAAAAATCAGAGACTAAACTGTGCATCGCAATCTGTTCTCACGTCTGAACTCTGGCAGGAGGTTTCAATGCGTGAGGAACAGGACAGTAAGAGTGTGTAACAGTTTTATCTCCTAGAATGTAAAGCTCATAAACACAAATAAATAAACCAATAGACATAGGAACAAGAGACCAGAATGTATGTGTTTTTATTTAATGATACAAAATGATTTAAATTAATTTGTTTTATCCCAATTTTTACTTAATTATTATAGCAGCATTTTTTATTTTATTTTATTATAATCCTTTTAGGTTGATAGCATTTCACTGTAGGCTGTTTCCCTAAAATGACAAAAAAAAGCATATTTATCATGTCCATTAAGGTCACTCCACCCTGATCTTTTATTAAAAAAACAGATAGGCATGCTACAGTAGGTGCAATATCCTGTCCTAGTGGAGCTCGTCATAAAATTTTCGATTAGATTCTTTATCACATTTCATGACAATAAATTAAAAGTTAATTATGGCTGTAGCTCAATTTAACCCAGACGTTTAGAGTTATTATGGTGCTGTATTTCAACTTAATGAAGTTGAAAATGGGGCAGTGGTTTGTACAAAAGCTTGTTGCATAATAACAACCCAACTAATACTTAACCTAACCAATTTTGCCCTTCTATGTTCACCTAATATTCACAAAATCGAACATGTTTATCAGAACATGTCCAAGATTTGTTTGTATCTTTGTTCACAAGCACAACTAATCAAAGGTGCACACTATGAAGATAGCAGATGGTGGCTTTCCAAGCTGGTTCATGTACAATGGTACATTTTAAATTACAATATTGTAAAATGCATTTTTTTTTGTTTTTTCTTTGCTACATCAAGGAACACTGCATGTTCAACCAATTATTTATCATTAAGGACATCTGGGGGTGACTAACGGAGTTACTATCTGCTACTTCAAATACTTCCTGTTAAATAGAAGGGGTTATTTTCTATTGTTGAACAACTAATGTCGATACAATCAGCTCAGTTTTTGAAATAAAAAACCTTTTATAGAAACTCGGATTAAATGATTAATTCAAATTGAATATATTGTGCTATCTCTCAATAGATGGAAGAGGGAATAACCAACAGGATTTGATAACACTGGATGGATATACAATATAGAATAACACTGGATGGATATAAAAAAAATATGGTTACAAATTCTTTTATACAAATTACAAATACATAAATAACTAAAAAATAAACTGAGTTTAGCTGTTTTAAATGTAACTGTTTGGATACTGTTTTAAACTTACATACCGACAGAATCATTCCCACTTCATGAATAAAACATCATACGGCCGCTTTTGTTTTGCACAGGAGGCAGTGGATGAGTCAGTGTCACCCTCAGAAGTAATTTGCTTCTATGTGACAGCTGTAGTGACAGATTCTCCAGTGGACAATCTTCACACAAACCTCCTTTTTCTTAATCACCATTTAGCATGTGTCTGGTAACAGCAACTGAATACATATCACAAGCACAAACTGAATGTGCTCTTTAAACACACACAGGAACACGCACATGCACTGAGAGAGATTAGATGGCTACAGGAAAATATAGGAGAATAGGAGCTAAGTTCAAGGTGGAAATGGCTCAGGAGGAAACCAAATTACATAGCTGGATGTGCTGGTGACCCAGAGCGACTCTTTCGTTTGGTAAAGAGTGTCCTTGGCACAGCGAGCTGACAGCTTCAGAGTCTGCAGTCGTTTCGAATAAGTCTTATCAAGGCTACTGCTCTGCCGGCCCTCTGCACTACCTCAAAAATAGCATGAGGATGCAGCCTGAGTGAGAGAGAGAGACAGTGTGTCTGGCTTTAATACTGAACTTACAGCTCGGGAGAGAACTTTTTTCTTTCTGTGAAAAGTTATTGTCATGCCTATAAATAAAGTAGGATTTAAGCATCAGCTGTTAAAGATGAGTGATTGTTTTCCCCAAATGTTTTTCAATATTAAATAAGAATAAATTCTTGTATAATCGATTATATGGTTTATAATCACACCTTGTTCAGGATGATTATGGCATTCCTCCATGACATACAGTAAACTATAAGACAGCAAGAATAAATTAGCATGTTTTACAGACTCCCCTTTCTGTCAATTCCTCTTCCTGTCCTTTGACCTTGTTTTGTGCCACTATCAGTGATTGGTTGCATAAAAACAGTAATGTCTGTCTTTAAACCTTCCAAATACAGAATCTCGTGTTACAGCCAAGATGCTCAGAGCTTTAAAACATAACTTTAATCAATCCTCATCAGAAATACTGTTTTAACTTCCACCAACATCACTTTTTAGAGATGTGTTTGCCTTTATTCCTTGTGATTTATGTAAACACTTTACCTAAAGGTCTGACCTTTACCCCCGTATGGTAAACAGGGATAAACACTTCAATTAACAAAGAGATCCACCTCTAATCAATTATCTTACGGAAGACTGATAAACATGTTTTTTGTTAGATTTCTATTTTTCTGTACAAAAAACATTTCTATACTTCATTAGACCGCTGTAAATTAGTTTCATTTCATAGGAGGATGTTATATTTTTAATGTAGAATTTTTGCCTAAACTAACCTTCCTTCCTTCCTTCCTTCCTTCCTTCCTTGGTATATAACTTTCTCGTTCTTCATTTCTTATCTACTTTCATTCTTTCTGGGTTTTTTTTTACTGTTCTTCCATCATTCTGAGGTATAAAGTAACTAAATATAAATACTTTGTTATTGCACTTAAGTAGCTTTCTTCATTATTTTATTGCTAAATTTGACCATAGATATCTGTCCTTTATATTTCTTATTTTCTTAAAACTAGCTTGTTAATTCTAAACCTAACCATTGCAATAAAACTGGGGGAAATGAAGAGTTATGAGAGAATATGTCCAGTTGGAGCCCAGTCTTTTTATTTATCTATTTATTTTAAACTGATAGCAACCTGGATGAAGACAGAGGTCTGGTAAAAATTGCAGATGATGATGTAGGTTCCTGATATTCCCAATTCATTCACCCTTTATTATTTTGGATATTTATATGTTAATTATGTTATAAGTTTAAATGCTATAACTGTGATATGTACCAGAGCTTTGAAAATATTCAGTTAATTCTATATTATCGTCTGAATTTTTAATTTAGGGCCGATTAGACTGAGTAAATTTTTATATTCCCTCTATCAACGCAGTGAACAACAGAGAAAAATAAAGATATTTCCTGTGTATAGAACTACTTTTATTTAAGAATATTTTTTGTAAATGTATGTTTAGAATTGAAGATTAAAAACTTAATTTTACCTTTGTACTTAAGTACAATGTAGAACCTTTATTGTTTAACTTAAGTAAAAGAGTTCTGTCAATACTATTTTTTTTTTTACACAGGTATCTGTAATGTTACTTTAAAAATGTGACATAATTCCTTCCTACCTAAATGGTCACCTTGTTTTGTTTGTTTTTTGCCTCTTCATTTATAGATTACAGGTTCAGATTTAAAGCAGTGCAAAGTATGAGGTTTTAAATGGTTCTAAAATTTTTAAAGCAAAACCTCTTATTTTGATGGTCCAATTAATAATTAAAAGTGAATATGTGTGTCCTGTTGGAGTATCAGAAGCAGACATTCTGGTAAAAGTGAGTAAAAAACACAATCTTAAATCAGTCAAGTTTAAAAGAAATGACAAAAAAATAAAAAATAAATTGAATAAATATGAAGAGAGAACCAAATTCAGGATTGGAAAATTGCACCAAAAATCTTTTATAATTTGGAGCTTTTTGACTTTTTTTTTTTTGTTTTTTTTGTTTATTTCTTGACCAAATCATTTGCAGCATTAGTCTTGTATTCTTAAAAAATATTTCAAAGAAAAAACTTTAAAGAATGCTTTTAATTCAATTTACTTTCACATCTAAAAAAAAAAAAATTATTTGCTGAACTGGTTTCTCAGCGTGTCGTTAGGACATCCAAACAGAAACCGCAGTTTCAAACGAAAGTAGATTTTTAAGATCAAAGTACACATGAAGTGAAATCAGCTTTAATGTGGATCACAATAAAATCCATGTTAACAATGATCGCCTAGAGCAGATTACTGCTCAGCTTTCAATCTAAATGCAAGCAAATTAGGTCAATTTCAACCTCAGCCATTAAGCTTTTGTGATAAACCCAAACCACACAAGCAGTTTATGTAGATTTAACTCTGGGAGTACAGAAACAAAATTATTACTGGATAATCA